AGGGGTGACCTTCGTTGGGTGGAGACGGCTGGCTAGGCTTGCATCCCCCTCCGAGTCACTGAAGGTGGGCCGCTGGGGCAGAGGGCAACAAAGGACAAAGCAGCCCTCTGCAGCTGAGGCAGACGCAGACGGATAGGACAGCTATAGGCTGTCTACTCATTGCACGCACCACAGCTAAGCAACAAGCTCCTTAAAGAACGGTCTGGACAATACATTTCTATGTCTACAAAGCTGACATTTACTGGCTAGACTAGGGGACTACCTGGTTGGCTCTCTCAGAGCCACCTGCATCCTCTGATGTATAGAGACATGCCATTTACAAATAACATTTAAACAAAAAATATTTAACATTTATAGACCACTTTTAAAAACAGGGAAAGTAATTCTTTGGGAGGAGGCATGCCTTGAGCTTGTCCCCATATTGTTCAACCTACTTTCACCAGCCACAGCTGGCAAGCACTCTCCTTTGGAAAAACTACCATTAGCATCTGTTCCTCTGCCCAGAGTTCTGCAGTGGGCCCCAGCTGAGCAAGCCCACAGCAAATGGCAGCAATTGGCAGGCAGGGTGTCCATCTTCAAATGCTTTCAGGAGCTACACAAAGTGAACCAGAATGGTTTCTGGCTTGCTGGTCAGCTCCCATTCACCAAGGATAAGTGCCTTCCAGCTGATTATGTAAACAACAGGCTCCACAGGCTCCTCTCAAACCACACTGCTGTGGCTGCTAAGGAGAAGCCACGCCACAAACTGACATGCATAGCAACCACTCCTCAATCAAGCCGCCCCTAGGATTTCCTTCCGTCTCCAGCATAATCATCTTTATCACAGAGCTAAGGGCAGGCACTTCGCTACGTTGCTATGGGGATTGCACTGAAGAAAATCACTCGTGAAGAAGTGCAGCGTTTGACAACAGCCCTCTCCAGCCCGATGTTGCTTTTGTCCCCTCAACCTGACCATGGAGATGCTGAGGAAAACAGAGCAGGGGCTGCAGAGAATACCCAAGGTCAACAGCACTGCCACTAGCTCTAGACACAAACAGCAGTTTATCGTTCGGGCCTGTCGAAGAGCCAGCTAATTTGGTTCTTAATTTGAGTCCTACTTCTGATCCCCTTCCCTGCAGCTGTGTGTCTTTGACCAAATCTTTTCTAGATCTCTGTTTTCTCACCTGAAAATGGGGTGGGAGGGTGTGTGTGACCAAATCTTTTCTAGATCTCTGTTTTCTCACCTGAAAATGGGGTGGGAGGGTGTGTGGTTGGTGCAGAAGATAACTCCCCAAATTCCCCATGCTAGGATACTGTTACATATGTCCCGAGGGACACCCTATTGGGGCACTGATCACTATCATGAACGAATACACCCAGTAAGTGAAAATAAGACTTGAATCACCTATTAAGTGATATGCAGATGGGCTAACAGTGAGATTATATCTTGATCCAATAGCTATGTTTTTAATAAGAGAATAATCTGTGTGTCACTGTGGATGTGTGACGGTACGGGGCTGAGATTATCTACTTTCTTTTTAAACCAGCCCAGAGTCTGCTTAAAACACACAAGAACCTAATTTGGTTCTTCAAAACTTCATTCAAAAAAGCAAACTGTCTTAGAGGAAAACCACAATGAAACCATTCCCAGCTCTTCTACTGGGTGAGGCTGACACCTGCTGGTCGTCTATGCAGCCACCCTTTGGAAAGAGCACATGTTTGCAGATTCTACAACTATCTGTGCAAATGTATCCGATCTAGAGTGGCAGGGTCCTTTGGAAAGGAATGCATCGGGGGATTTATGCAGGAAAGGTTCCTGTGAGAAAGACACAAAAGGGCATTTCAGTTATACATTTAGGGGTTAGCATGAAGGAAGTAATGTGTTAAGAAATACACAAATTTCAGTCAAACATACACAGAATGATCCAAAATTTCTTAAAGGAAACTGTCCTAAATTTCCCTCATCATTTATAAGTCTTTAATACATTAGCAATTTGTAGAAAACAATGTGAGAGAAAATGAGAGAGGAACAAAAGAAAGGGAAATACAGGGAGAGAGAAGGTGATGAAGACAGAGTGCTGGGAACAGATAAAGAAAAAGAGGCAGAAAGTGAAGATCTAGATACAAAGAGGCGAGGACAGAGGCAGCCAGACTCACAGGCAGGTTGTTAGAAAGCACGAGGGCAGATCATTCACTTTCCCAGACAAGAGCTTTCTGATAAAGCAGGGCCAATGACCCGAGAGCAGGTGAGCAGACATATCTCATTCAGCTGCCTGGTCTCTTAAGCTGCCAATTTTATCTCTGTGACACCCACCCTGTAGTGAGAGGGACTGTTCACAGTTCTGCAGTCTCTCTACAAAGCAGTTAAATGTTCTCTGTAGTGAAGAACGCATTTCCAAGGCAACACTAATTCGAGAGTTTCATTTAAAAGGAGGCTTCTTAAGATGTGGCCAAACACTTCATTTTCCTATAATCAATTTCCTAGCACTAAGATAATTAGTTCTGCTGGGAAGGGGGATACAAATGCCACTGAGGCATTTATATTGGGACTAGATGACTCTCCCCAAACGAACTCTGGGACAGCAATAGATAAATTGCAGCATATTCAGCTGGGAAAAAAAAATACACTAGAATTAATCTGGATATGATTAATGCTATAACAAAATACACTTCCTGTGCTGTAATCTTTCTTAGGTTTTGTTTGGGGTACAAGTCAGAAAACCAATATTCTCCTAGCCTTGTCACTTATAAGAAGTCACTTAACTTACTTTATCTGCCTTGAACGATTACAAAGAGATCAAATGAAATAATGCCTGTGAAAACGCTGTAAAATTTTCTGATCTATACTGAAAAGAAAGTGGAATCAAAAGAAATTCTCCTTGGACCCACGAGGAGTGAATAGCCTTGGAGAAGAGACAGATGCAGAACAACGGCCAGGTGCAGAGAAAGCAGCCCGCCTCGCATCCGGGTAGGAGCGCGCAGGACCCATGGCAACAAGGCCGACGTTATGATGAGCAAACGGAATTAGTAGGCACACACAAGTCCCTCTTTGGCTCCCGGTGTTGATTTAAATATATGCCCCGTCCATTCCTTGTCTGAACAAGCTGTTCTCAGGATGGTTTCAAATGACCATGGAAGAAAAATTGAACGTGCCCTTCCATTCAGCCTAATTGTGAATTAGAAGCAGCTTTATAGGGGCTGCCCAAGATTAACCAGATGAAACTGCTCCTATGAGGAGGTCCCAACCTTCATCTTATGTGCCTCCCTAACCATCCTGAGGTTTTGTGTGCATGTGACTTAGAGCACAGAACTAGGATTCTGGAGAGAAACATCTTTCTCAGGTCCTGGGTGCCACTGGCTCTCAAGGGAACATTTTATTCCACGGAGACAGACGTACAGGGGAGCATGAATCAGCTACATGTTTACCCACTTACATGTTTATCATTTGTTGGGATAACTCTATGTCCACCCATGATTAAGCAAGTTCTTTTAAAATTTAGAACTTTGAGAACTACATAGAATTAATTTTCACATTAGAAATAATCTTATCATTGTGCCTAAAAAACAAGAAGTTGGACAGGCAGACTGAAAATTTCCTTCCAAAATTGTATTGGTTTTTTTGTTTTCCTTTGCATAAATATGAAAGGTGTATCTAGTTCTAAGTTTGTGAACCTCTGCAGAGAAGTCTAAGAGAGCACATACCCGAGGGAAAACAAGAAGAAAAGATCAGAATGCCAGTTTATATTTATTTGTCTACCTCATCCTTTTAAAAATTATAGTTTTGTTTGTGTCTTATGATGTGCATAATAGAACACCATAATGCATTTAAATAATTTATAGATATACATGATATATAAATAAAATTGTTCATTAAAATCAGTGCCTTATCCCCAAAATGTCTAAACACAGTACTATAATGAAGAATATTTAGCGGGCATACTCTGCTTAATTCTGTCATGTAGAAAATCACTTGTTACTTAGTAGGTGGGTTTATCCTAAAAGTTCTGTCCCAAGCTTACATGTGTCACAGACTAATACCAAAATTCTAGAACTTTTATCCTAAGTGATACCAGTAAGAGAGTGAAAATGCATTCACATCAAGCACAACTTAAAAGCAGAACTAAAGGAGCTTAGTCTAGAGGCATTACAGACATCAGCATACAACACACACGGAACCTACAAAAAAAAGCCATGTAAATACTAATATCACACACATGGGGTTATGTTTATATTTCTCAATAGAAGTTGTGTCATAGCACAGCAGCCCTTTAAGACTGACCTGAAATTGAGTTTTTCCTTAATCCAAAGTCTGGGAAATTCAAGAACTTGATCTTCAAAATGGCACTTAGGTAAGAGAAGTTGACATGGTGACTATGTCCTCATCAGAAAACGACAGCTCTTCATGTCGACTTAATCTAACATATCTGAGGAATTACAGACAACAAAGGCGGTCAAACATTGCAGAACCAAGAAGCCATTTCTCTTTTATACACGTAATTCACTCTTATTACATGATACAATTTCTGGAATGAAGCATCCTTCAGAGTTGAGTTATCAGTAGAATCACGTGATCCAGGTTCTGACATGGTGCCTTCCTGTGGGGCAAAAATTAACTCACCAGGTCCCTTTTATAACTCCCTGAATTTTAAATAAAAAGAAATTATGTATGGTCCTCCACTCACCTCATTATGGCAGAACCCAACCCCCTAAGCCATGGAGGTGTTGACTTACTCTGGACTCAGTGAATACAGACTGAAGCCCCTGACTCACTCAGTAAAGTGCTAGCAAGGAGCGTCATAAATTCAACAACTCAGTGACTTCCAAGGAATGAAGCAAAGAGAAAATGCATTCCAAAGGTGAACTGCAAAAGGCTTTCAAAACTGTGCTTCAATTAATAGGCAAGTAATTAATACAAGGATTTTTAAACAAGAAATTATTGCTACTTACCAACTTAGTTGCCTACTTGGAAGGAAGGAGAAAGTAGTTTCTTCTCCTGAATGAACTCAAGGGAGGGAGGTTTAAAGAGAATCCTTGGTGGAAATCATGGGTGCCTTAGGTAGGGGAGCTGGCACCTCTCATGGTTGTATATCTGTTTAGCTATCCTGCAACCACCTAGACAGGAAAAAATAAATTGGACAGAAATAGCAGATAGGAAAGAGATGAGTGGCTGGCTAAGCATGGATGTTGGGTGTCCTGTGGGCCGAGTGCACCCCACGGGAGACAGCTGAGCTGAGCGTTCCTGCTGGTTCTCCATCCAAGACAGCTGACAAAAGGGCAAGGGGACTGTGAGGTGAGCCTCTGGGAATGAAAGCCAAGGGGTCAGGGGAGCAAGAGGTGAAGTCAGATCTCTGTTGGGGAACAGGGCAGCGGGAGGCCTGGGCACTCAGAGATGCTTCCAGAGGCATCCGAAGAGAGAGCTCGTCTTTGCGTAGCTGTCACGCAGAGAGCAGCGCGCACCACCAGAGCAGACTGCAGGAGCCCTCATTTAAAAAGGCACCTCTTTGCACCTCCCTCCTCTAAGCCTCCAACTCAGAAGAGGACCCAGAGACCTAAAAGCAGGAGGGAGGAGGCATCAGGAGGCAGTCACACACACCCACTCCTTCTCCAAGACCCTCCACACCACCCTGGCCATTAGACTGGATCATGAAACATTGTAACTGCAGGGGTTGGGGTAGGGGGGGCAATATGTTCCCAGCCCAGGGCCAATAACCTTTGAAACCAAAATCAGTCATAGGGAGAAATAAAGTGGAAGAAACCGTTTATTGTGTACAAGCAGTCGTCTACTTCTGCTCACCCCTGTCTCTCAAGACCCCTCTGCAAAAGGACCCCACCCAACCTCTCCCATACAGGTGTGCCCTAGCTCCCCACCCGCCTTGTAATCACCTATTGATACAGAGATGGACTATTTCTCTCCACCCTTTGGAAACGCCTAATGATATGGAGATATATTAATGCCAGGCAAGAGATTCTAAAAATATTGCAATTTTACCCACAAACATTAATCCATTCATCAGAAACATGAGATGGGATATGAAACTAAAATTTAAATTGTACTGAACGGAGGCTTTTAAATGCTCTAAAAATGTCTGCAAAGTTCTTACACCTGTCCAGAGAATCATAAAAAGGCAGCATGTGAGGTTTGAGAGCATGATTAGAGTTAGTGCTTAGAGAAAAAGAACCCTGTTCGGTGTTTGAATTGCAGAGGGTTCAGACAGATGAATAAACTGCTTAAAAGAGTGGTTCCAGATGTTACCAACTTCCAAACCAGATTTCTTGTCGATACCACACTATACACATCTTACAAAAATGATTCAAAACATTGTACACGTGTAATTACAGAAGTTCTCTAGATGTGCCTACCGGGGTCTCTGCCTGCCTCATAATCCTTATTCTCTGAAATCTGATCCCCATGCCCAAGTCACAGGGGTGGGTTTTACCTCTCGGTGTGCCAGCCTGTGCCTGCGCCCAGGAGGATCACCTGACCCACCAGGATCACCTGTTTTCTGAAACGCAAAAGTCTATTCTACTAAAAAAAAAAAAAACTTTCTACAGCGACAATCTATGAAATCAAGGCAAAAACGCAATTGTCTTTCTCTAATAAAGTCGGAATGTTTCAGGGTTTGTTTGTTTTTTAACTCAAGTCTACATATCTATTTGTCATGGGGCACCACCACTCACCTATTGATATCATTTATACCCATTCTTTGTTTTATTTCTTTACTTATTACTTTTTAAAGTTTTTAACCTTCTGATTTTTAAACAACAAAATATCTAGCAGAAAAAAAAAATTGCATAGTACTTGGTCTGCTATTTTAATTCATTTGCATTTCTGATATATTAGACCTAATCAGGTTTAAAATGGAAAACAATGAAGATCTCTAAGAGTTGGCCTTTTTCACTTTAGTCGTTAGTTTCAGTTCTTTAAAAGGACTGACATGTAACTGCTATGCATATTTTAATACCCATGTGTAGTAGAATGCTTTTAGATTTTTTTTTTGGTGTTATTTCCATCTTTAGAATAAAAATCATGAAACAGACCAGTGTTCTTCAAAGTCAGGTGCACACATCTCAGAGATATGCACACACAAAGAATTTACTAGAGTGCAGAAAAAAATTAGAATTTCAATTTAATTTCATCAGAGAATTTTATATTTCATTTTTTCCAAATGTGTATCTTATAATGGACATAATATATCAATGCAGTACTGCATATATAAATTATAATAAACAGACATACATATTGGGTTTGTATGCTCAGAGATGATAGAAGTACTATTTTGAAAAATTGAGGCCACTAAGGAGCAAAGAAATTGCCACTTCCACCCCACACCCCCAGCCTGCTTTTCAATCCTAGGGCACAGTGCCACCTAGTGGTAACTGAGATAATAGTCATGACATTTGCATAATTTTTGTAAGAAAAATACTCGTCATTCAGATTGCAAGACAAATATAAGTTATTGAAAAGCTTACGCACATATTAATTATATCATGGGAAACTATGAAAGCAATGTTTATGGTTTCTTGCTGCTTCAGCTAACCTCTTCATCTCTTTCCCCCTTAAAGGTAGATGCTTCTGTAAAGCCACCAGTTTCTCTGCCTTATGCAAGAGACTCTTCCTGGCCTGCCTTCCCTTCCCCTGAATACCTTCCTGAGCACCATCAACATGGCTGCTCCCTAACCTCCCTCATTCCACTTCATACTCAAGCCCCTTAGAACACTTGTCTCCTCAACTTCTAATGATTTGCTTCCCTGTTGTACTAACTTTTAAAGAAGCACTGCCAGTAGAAACAACATAAGACACAAATGTGAGTCACACACATATTTTTAAATTTTCTAGTAGCCACATAGTAAAAAGTTAAAAGAAACAGACAAAATTTATCTTATATTAAATGTATCCAAAATAGTATTTCAACATGTAATCAGTTTTAAAAATTACTAATAAGATATTTTCCATTCTTCTTTTTTTTCCTGTAAGTCTTCAAAATCCAGTGCATATCAATTCAGACTCGCTGTTTTTCAAATACATAATAGCTCCATGTGTCTAGCGGACCATACCATTTACAGGGCATTTCTGAAGTCAGGGTCTGGTATCTCCTTGCACTTAGCAAATGTTCAATAAATGCTTTAAGATATCATTCAAAAATAAGTTTAAGCATATAATGCCTCTAGATGTTCTCTGAGAAAATCTGTCCTTTGTATATCATGCAATAGGCCTCCTTAAATACACTCTCAAACAATCTATACCCAAATCTCTTATATAGAAGATAAGAAGAATCTGGCAAATCAAACCAACTGCCAATTTTTGTTCTACAAACTCCTTTTACAGGTAAGTTTTATGAGTGTGTATTTTAACATATTTAAATTGTCTTAAAATAGCAATTGTCAGACTCTTAGTTATGCACCTAGATATCTCCTTATAATACTCAACACATTTTGAATCACATTTTCAAAGTCTTCCTGCCCTGCCCGCATCGCTTACGCTCCTTAAAGGCAAAGACCACTATGTTCATCGCTGTCTATTCAGTGCCTATCTTTATGCCTAGCACATTTTAAGATATAAATGTATAAATACATCTTAAGCATTTTAAGAACATATTTGTTGATTTGGAAAATCTGAGAGCTTAAATCAATTTATGGTCCATTTTTCTCTTGATTTGTGAGTTTCATCTCATTTTTTTCGTTCACTTCAAAAGCATGGAGTTCATAACTGTGTGTTAAGTGCTTGCGGTTGAGAGGGTTACAAAATCTGGCTCCTGCCTTCAACCTAATGTACAAAAAAATTCAAAATTTACTCCCAGCTCAGGACTCCCCTTCCCAGAGCACTACAACACTTTGTTCATAATGAAGACGGGGCCTTACACACGTTACCACTTACTGTTTTCAATATTCTGTAACCGTCCTCACCACCCAGGGAAGCAGAGAAGCCAGGTGTTATTTCCCCTTCTTACAGTCTCCCAAGAAGTTAAACTATCCACTGAGTCATAATATTAACAAGTAACTGAACCAGTAGTAGAAGCCAAATGTTCTTACTTTTAGAATGTGTTTCCTCTATAATGGCTCCACCTCTGAAGTCTGAAACACATTTTCCATACCATCTAATCTGTAGTTTATTACTATCTTGTATTAAAAATTAATTCTTTTTGTTTTTCCTTAACATGGATCTTGCAGGAGTAGTACGTGGGGATGAAAGTTAGGTAACCTCTAGAATTCTGAGCATGAAGCCAGTGATACCAACATAGATGAGAAGATTGACAACCTGCTACATTTGTCTGGACACAGTGATCAGGGCCGTCGTGAGCTGTGTGCAGGCTGGGTACTGTGCAACCTCACAAAGTGTCCAGGGCATGATTTGCAAACCACAACTGTAGCCTTGGGGGCAATTACCTCCCAGGTCAAGATAGATAAAAGCACTGTGGAAATAAAACCTAACTCCAACAGAGCATAAACAAAGGCTGATTAGTATCAAGGGAGCTGTGTTGTCTGAAAGAAGGTGTGCAGCTGAAGGAGGTAGGCCTCAGCCCCAATCTGGCCTTCATAACTAGAGGGTAAATGCCCCCAGAGCAGGAACCAGGCCTGTGTTCTTTTTCACAGTAAGTCAAGTTCATAATCCAAAGTAAGTGATCATTTATTTCTTTAAAGGTGTATGTGTGTCTCCAAGAGCTTTGCAAAAGGTAAATTTTATGCAGGCCAGTAAATAATCACAGAATAAGTACAAATACTTCTTTGCACTTCAAAGTACTTGAAACATACCAGAAAATGTTATTAAACACTTAGCATAATTTGAGACCCATATCCGCTTTTTGAAAGTGAATGGTTCTTATGAAAGAAAAGCTTCTGAAGCTGTTTCATTCTAGGAAAAAGAAGAAAATCAAAAGCTACAAGTCTTGACACAGCTTTATGGAAATGCGTGATATGCAGTGAGATAAAAGACACATCTTCTCTGTCATACCTCTGGCTGTTCGCCTCTTCCTGGTACATGGGCATTTCTGTGGAATTCTCCTAATTCTCCTTGGACAGTCTGCCAGCGAGAGCCCCCTGAGAACACGGAAAAATTTTATCAAATCTTTCCTCCCACAATTCAAACTTGACTTCAAAAGAAAGAAAAAAAGTGTAAAGGAGTAATTGCATTTTCAGTGATGGTCATTCAGCTGCCCCCTGGAGGCCAAGCCTGGTCAATTCTTATTTGCTGACATGCAGGCCTTACCCACGTTCACTTTCCACCCCCTACAAAGAACAGGGACGGGCATGCAGGCTCATAAGTCCTCATTACTTCTCAGACTTTGACGTGTGAAATGTGTAAAATGAAAGACTCCACTGAGCCCACTGGCTGACCGCTTGATTTTTACCTTTCATATGATCATGACTTGGTCAAGTCTGATTTTGAGGCTATCTTCCCAACTAATGAAAATTAGCAGAATTTCATTATCTGTATCATCTCAGGAATAAAAAAAAAGAAACCAAAAACAAACAAAAAAAAAAATAAAAAATTAATAAAAAAAAAAAACATAAAAAAAGACAACAGAAAAAAAAAAAAAAAAGAAAAACCCAACAACAAAGGGCACACACTTTAACTGGGAAGGCAACACATCAAAATGTTCACACCCAAACAGAGAAAGCGGAGCAGCAATCAGAGGCAGGACACCCTGAAAGGCAGGAATGGGCACACTAAGCAGCAGATTTAGAGCCAAACCATTTGGACCAAATGCCAGTTCTACTCCCATGACCTTGGGTAAGTTACTAAGCCATCCATGCCTGCTTTCTCACCTGCGACATGGAGATGACGACTGCACTTACTTCATGTGATGGTGAGATGAACAAATGATTTAAGAACAGCTGCGAGCAGGGCTGGGCACATAGTAAGGGCTCAGCTCAATAGGAAGTAGCTGCTACCTTATTACTATAGAGTTAGCAGCCACATACTTGGGACAGAAAATGCTTTCGAAGTCCAAGCAAGGGAGAAGTATCTGTAGGCTGATCAAAAAAGGTTTGAGAGAGGAAATATCAGCATCTCAAGTAAGACTTTAAGAGGAAGATGAGAGACAGAGGAAGAGAATTCAGAGGACCAGATATAGGATAACTTTAGAGTCTTGTTTTTTTTTATCATTGGAAGATGAGGCTGAAGGATGGATGGTCCATTATGGAAGGGCGAGGGACCAGGACAAGGGCTGTGGATTTTAAACTTTTGATGATAGGAAGCCCCAAACGAGAAAATGATGGAGCCATGTCTTCAGCAAGGTTAATTCTGCAGCCTGTGGAAGTGAGGCCTGAAGGAGAGAGACTCAAGGTAGGGAGCCACGCATGGGACTAGTGCAATGATGTAGGCACGAGAGGATAAGAAATAAAGACGGTAAGAGCACAGATGCTTTCATGAAAGAATTGGCCTTGGTTACAGATTAGAGAGGAGACAAGGAGTTGATCGACAGCATGAGTGACAAAAAGAATGATGTGCTGGTGACACAAATAGGTAAATCAGGAGAGCCAACCTTTTTTCTGGAGCAGGAAGGAAGGAACCAGAATTCCCTTTGGAACATAAAGACTCTGAGGTAACAGAACAACATCCAAAAAGAAATCTCATAAAGGCAGATGGAGATGTGAAATTGTTATGGAAAAGAGATCTGAACTTGAAAAATAGTTTTAGGGATCCTCGGGTCACAGAAACCAGAAGAATGGATGGATCCACAAAGCAGGATTAATGGATACGAAGAATTAATGGATACTAAGAAAAAAGACTTTGACTTGGAAGAAAGAGTATGGCTTTTTCAAAGGAAGGCATTTTGACCTTGTTTCCCTCCCACAATAGCCAGGGAGAAGTACTCACAATGATAAAGGATGACAATTGATGCTGAAGCTTTGGTCTAAATCAAGAAACAAATGTACGCTGGGAACCACCCTGAGCCGCAAGTCCAGAGAGCGGGAAGTCCTGTAACTTAGTGGTATGGTATGTGACAGCGGGTCTGTTCCAGTTCTAAAATTCTCCATGATTCTACTCATCTCTAGATGTGTTACTGTGGATAACTTCAGTCATCCTTTTTGCATTATTTTTATTTTCCAGTGTTCCCTAACAAGAAAGTTTAACTTTTTTTAAGTATGGGAAGAAAGTATTCTAGAAGCTTCTGTCTACAGGGATAATAAAGCTTCATTTTAACAATTTTCAAGGAAAATGTAGATACTATAATTTATATAGATATAGGTTTATTCTATTTATGAGGAATTTACATAGCACTTTTAAGGAGAAAAAGCAAGTGCATGCCAATTACTTTTCATTTCTATTTTTAATACGTAAGATGCCTAAAGCAGGAAACCACTTCTTTCTAAAAAAACCTTATGCTTAAATCTCACCATAAATTCTAAAAATGCTTAGACACTTCATTTATTTAGCCTGTCAGTCAGTGAATACTGACTACACAGCTAAGGAAAAATAAAAAATATGTACTCTCTGTACACAGAGTAATGGTGGATTTTTTCCTTCATTTTCCACTGCACCATACAAGCTGGTTGTGTGTAACTGACTCCTGAAGACCTGTGACTGAGTGAGGGAGGGATATTACAATATAGAAAACCTACAACAGACTATCACACATCACCATCCTTAAGCATTCTTTGGTCATCTCCACCTCCTCAAAATTTTCACCAACTCTCTTCTCCCCGGACCCTCGCCTTCTGCCAGGTGACTGGGCACCTCACTGCTCTTCAGAAACTTCCCCTCTGCCTGCTGTCCTCAAGGACAGTGACCTGTTTTTCCCATCTGCCAGTGGAAAATTAAAATGTCCTATTTCTCCATTATGCTGTGCATTTAGTTCTCCAGCTCCTTCCCAGACTTGTCTTAACTTGTGTACTCTGCATCTGTGGTTCTCAAATCTCACGGCGTGTTAGCATTACCTGGAGGGCCTGTTAAAACAGAGACGGCAGGGCAGGGCCTCCCCAGAGTGTCAGATTCAGTGGGTCTGAGATGGGTGCTGAGGATCCTCACTTGTAACTAATCCCCAGGAGATGCTACTGCTGGTGGTGATCCACCACACTTTGAAAATCACTATTTTATAACAAGTCTTTAAAGCAAGTTTTCTTAACTGTCAAATTACCTATGGACCCCTGGCCTCATCACTAGTCACACAAAGGCAGACCTGAACTTTTAAATTAAAGTTTGTTCTCTATCATGGATCTGGTCAGACAATCTCCTCTTGTATCATTTTCTGTAAATGGCAGCCATCCTTAAAAGATTTGTTCTGCCCTCTAATCACAGTATTCCTGTGAGGAGGATTCTGACTCCATCTATTAATGTTTGGCTGTGGGCAGCTCACAAACCTCACCCCATCCCGTTCCCCTGTGCCAGCCTCTGAGCAAGTTGCTAAGAAAGACTGGATGCTCCTTGCTTCGGTGTAAGTGGGCGACTCAAAGCACATAAGCCTCCTTTCACATAAACTCCCAACCCAGCCTAACTCCCAACCACAATACAACCCATGCCGGCCTCCCTCCTTGCTGTCTCAAGGCATTTGGCCTTTCGTTGGAGGCCTGTCCTGCTCTCTCCCAGAAATCCCTTTCTATGTAAGTAACAAACGTTTTCATATCTTTTGGTCTGTGTATGGCATCATTAGTCTCAACATCCGAACCAAACTTCGAGTGTGAGTCCCTCCTGCTTTTGCAGGGTGATTATAAAATTTCCCCCAGAGCTTGCAGGTTTTTTTCCTTATATTTAAAGAACCTAAGAAAAATTATGTAACCATATAGGTAGAATTGCTTAATGTGAAAATTTATACAGAATTTGAGACAACCCCTCCAGGAGTCCAGAAACTGGGTACAGACATCCCAGGAAGAAAATTAGAGGTAACTATTCTGGAAATTTATACAAGTCCAAGATAAATATTCTAAAAATACTGACATGACCATATGGCCTTACAGGACAGACCATGACAATCAGCCCTAGTTATAGGCACAGAGCTTTGGGCCAGCGTTTTAAAGTCCCACTTCAAAATGAAAAGACATACAAAGATCACTAAACACTTGAGGAAAAGTATTTCATAGGAAAGGCAGAGACTAGAGCAAAAAACAAGAAGAAAGTAACTAATAGGAGACAGATACAATACAGGAAGACATAAAAATCTTCAGAAAATATCATTAATATCTTCAAAAATACAAAAAAACATATTGCATCTGTAAAGTAAGAATAGGACATTATAAAAAATATTCAGAGAACAAAAAGGAGCTCTGAGAAATCAAACCTCTGATAATGGAAATGAAAAACTTAGTAGAAGAAAGAAAAAAATAAAACAAAAAGACAAAAGATGGGACATAGAAATGAAAACAAAAACAAAAACAAAACAGAGAAGTCCAGGTCAAATAATAGAAAATCCAGAGAGAACAGAGAAAAAGAGATTAAATAATCAAGATAATAATTTTTGAAATTCCCCATAATTGGAGGAAATTAGTTTTCACATTGAAACATCCACAAAGTCTTAATATATAAGATGACTGTAGACTTATATGAAATTTGTGAAATTTAGAACAACAGGAAAACAGAGATCCTAAAAGCTTCAATACTTTCTTTACTTACAGAAGGTCAAGAATCAGAATGGCTTTGGGTCACCCAACAGACACACTGGAAACGAGAAGTCAAAATTATGAGGGAAAAAGACATCCAATCTAGAATTATATATTCAAACTACTGATTAAAAGAATGAAATAAAAAATGTTTTCTGATGATGTAAGTCTGAAAAACTTTTTCTCAGGTACATCTTCTTCAGAAAACTACCAAAGGATATGCTCCCCAAAAATAAAGAAGTAAACCAAGAAAAAGGAAGACAAGGGAACCAAAAGAAAAAAAAGGCATAGGGAACTCCTAAGGAAACAACTCTGAGGCAGGTCCTGAGAGCACCTAGGAGGCTTCGGAGCACATTGGAAAGCACCAGGGGGATCCTTCAAGAAGATGACTAGACAGAATTTAATTTGGCTGGTTAAATATGGACAGTTGGCAGAGTTTGGGATTGAAACAGTAATAAGCACATAACAAAACGAAGCAAGCAATTATTAACTCCAAGGAA